AGCCTAAGCCCTAGCCTAAGCCCTAGACTAAGTCCTAGCTTAAGCCCTAGCCTAAGCCCTAGCCTAAGCCCTAGCCTAAGCCCTAGCCTAAGCCCTAGACTAAGCCCTAGCCTAAGCCCTAGCCTAAGCCCTAGCCTAAGCCCTAGCCTAAGTCCTAGCCTAAGTCCTCGCCTAAGCCCTAGCCTAAGCCCTAGCCTAAGCCCTAGCCTAAGCCCTAGCCTAAGCCCTAGCCTAAGCCCTAGCCTAAGCCCTAGCCTAAGCCCTAGCCTAAGCCCTAGCCTAAGCCCTAGCCTAAGCCCTAGCCTAAGCCCTAGCCTAAGCCCTAGCCTAAGCCCTAGCCTAAGCCCTAGCCTAAGCCCTAGCCTAAGCCCCTAGCCTAAGCCCTAGCCTAAGCCCTAGCCTAAGCCCTAGCCTAAGCCCTAGCCTAAGCCCTAGCCTAAGCCCTAGCCTAAGCCCTAGCCTAAGCCCTAGCCAAAGCCCTAGCTTAAGCCCTAGCCTAAGCCCTAGCTTAAGCCCTAGCCTAAGCCCTAGCCTAAGCCCTAGCCTAAGCCCTAGCCTAAGCCCTAGCCTAAGCCCTAGCCTAAGCCCTAGCCTAAGCCCTAGCCTAAGCCCTAGCCTAAGCCCTAGCCTAAGCCCTAGCCTAAGCCCTAGCCTAAGCCCTAGCCTAAACCCTAGCCTAAGCCCTAGCCTAAGCCCTAGACTAAGCCCTAGCCTAAGCCCTAGCCGAAACCCTAGCCTAAGCCCTAGCCTAAGCCCTAGCCAAAGCCCTAGCTTAAGCCCTAGCCTAAGCCCTAGCCTAAGCCCTAGCCTAAGCCCTAGCCTAAGCCCTAGCCGAAGCCTAAGCCCTAGCCTAAGCCCTAGACTAAGTCCTAGCTTAAGCCCTAGCCTAAGCCCTAGCCTAAGCCCTAGCCTAAGCCCTAGACTAAGCCCTAGCCTAAGCCCTAGCCTAAGCCCTAGCCCAAGCGTAAGCCCTAGCCTAAGTCCTAGCCTAAGTCCTCGCCTAAGCCCTAGCCTAAGCCCTAGCCTAAGCCCTAGCCTAAGCCCTAGCCTAAGCCCTAGCCTAAGCCCTAGCCTAAGTCCTAGCCTAAGCCCTAGCCTAAGCCCTAGCCTAAGCCCTAGCCTAAGCCCTAGCCTAAGCCCTAGCCTAAGCCCTAGCCTAAGCCCTAGCCTAAGCCCTAGCCTAAGCCCTAGCCTAAGCCCTAGCCTAAGCCCTAGCCTAAGCCCTAGCCTAAGCCCTAGCCCTAGCCTAAGCCCTAGCCTAAGCCCTAGACTAAGCCCTAGCCTAAGCCCTAGCCGAAACCCTAGCCTAAGCCCTAGCCTAAGCCCTAGCCTAAGCCCTAGCCCAGAGATATGGTGCAAATCCCTTGTTAGCGTTTCTGTTTGGGACTTTCGAAAGCAAAACGCATTGACAAAACCGGCGCGCCATACGCGAAGCCTTCTTTAATAACCTTTACCCATTAGTTAAAGCACTCTTTCTACGCGTTTGGTTTTATTGCAATACAACGTTGTGTTTTATCTATTGTGCTACTATAAAATATGTCAAAGGTAGGTTAAACAAGTTTTTTAATATTATAAATAAGAAGGCTTCGTGATAAGAGTGAGAAACGGGACGGGTTGGCTCTGAACTATAGTAGAAACAGGCCGCGACTAATATTTGGCCCGGGCTTAAAAACTTGATTTTCAGTTTAATTTTTTTGCTTTAAGTTTTGTTATTTTTTTTATTTTTTTTGAACCATCAGGGCCGAGCGGGCACTTTTGGTCTGCAGATGGGGGTCGAAAAAATTGGCATAGGTACCTGTGCCGATTTTTTGATAATTTTTTTGCAAAAATTCACCGGGGAGACCACGTTTAACTTCTCCCTTACCTCTATTTGTAGACTTAGCTTTAATAATTTAAGCCTTAATCTGCTTAGACTTGGTGTATTAGACCTAGAAATAGGGGTGAGAAACGGGACGGGCCGGTTTTTCATGGTCTATTTTTTAGACCCGGTCTCTTTTCATTTTTAAATCAGGCCAGGCCGGCCCAAATTTTTTTACGTGCAAACTGCTTTTGAAATTCGGCCCGGACGGTCCGGATTTTTGAATTTATTTTTCCTGCCAAACACTATTGATATCAAAAAACTAACAGCATCTAGAAGGGTCTGTAACATTTCACATAGCGGCGTAGAAAAAGTTTCAGACCGGCCGGTAGTAAAAAGCGCGGAAAAACAAAATTCAAATTCCGGACTCAATTCAAAATCCGTTCCTCACCTCTACTTTGATGAAGTTTTTAAAATTTCGTTTGTTTAAGCCTATTTAGCTTGAGCTATTTTACTGAAAATTTAAAAAATTTTAGCGTCAACTTAACCAATCATCTTCTCTAAGACTATGTATAACAGAAGATGCATTTACTGCAACTGCTAATGGTGGAAATAAGCTTTGGTTTACAGAGATAGAAGATTTTGAAGACTACATCATCAATAAAGTTTGCAGTAATAAACTAGAAAAATTAGAAATAATAACAAAATCCTCACAACCTGACCACATAAATTGGTTTCAAATGTTCGACCTAGAAGAAAGCACTAATTTTGCTCCGAAAACCGCGGCGAGAGTTGCAAAGTTGTTGAAAGGTAAGATTTAATGGTCGTAAAAACAGTTAAAATAGTTCTGTTTATAATTTTTAAAAATTTATAATTATTTTTGATAATTAAAAATCGAAAGTTTTACTTTTAATAATTTCATAATAATTTTAGACAAATTCCCAACAACAGAAGTTAACTTCGAAACACGGGCTGACAAACGAAAATCTTTATTTTACCTTTTTAATACGGTGCTCGTTGATGAACTCAAAGACCAGATAGCTACCATTGCGTGCGATTATCAGTTCACCTCACAACTAATCGACACTAAAGCAACTGAACTTAAAATATTTGGCTTAAAAGACATATGGCAAAACAATATCCCCATTCATTGTAAGTTATCTTTGTTTTACGATACAATCGATTGCGTTAAGGGTGAGAAACAGACCGTGTAGACCCGGCCCAGCGTGGCTGGTTAAGCTAAATTTACAACGCGTCGGGTCTAAAAGCGGAGCTTGGCCCGCGGTCGATTGAAAAGTAGGGTGGTGCCCAAAAATACTTTTTTTTTTTTAAATTTTTATTTAAAAGCTCGACTTGTTTTTCACTCTTAATGTAGTTTTTATATGTGCCTGTCTATTAAACTTATTCTTAAACTTGGACAACAAAAGTCAAATATCTTTTTAATAATTTTTTGTTTAAAAACGACTTATCTTAAGGATACTATGTTTTTAGGCTTAACACATTTACAAACCTCGCAAATCGAAAAAATGCATTTGCCAGATCTGGAAATTTTGTTTACTTGCAAAAAAAATCCAATTGTATTTCCACCTTTCAACAACGTCACTTCACTCTCAATACGGATGGGATTCACGCAGAGCTTAAATTTTGTTGATTTGGATCATTTATATCAAGCCTTAATGGATATCTATCCAAATCTGAAAGAACTTACTATGAGAACACCATTTGGTCCATACTATTTCGACTGCGCTGATTATTCCCGTGAAAACATAAACGTCATTTGCAACTGTGCGAAGAAATTCAACGTGGATACCGTAGTTTTGATACAGATTGGTCACGGTGTTTTGTTCCATTTTTTGGGCACGTTTACTGATGTAGTTTGGGGCATGAATTATACAAAAAAGACAGATGAAGATTACCTTTATTACATTTTTAAATTTGAGAAAGCTTGCGTTACTGTAAAAATTGATTTGACAGAAGATTCGAAAAAACTTGTGTCGCTGCCATTTGTTCTTTAAATTTTTAATAAATATTTTTTGGTATAAATTAATAAGTTTATTTCAAAAATCGTCAACATTAACACAACTTGGACAAAAAGAATTTGGAAGATTTGAGCTAAAATGAAAGGAATTACACGTCTATGTTAATATAAGTCGTACTATCGTTTTTCAGACCAAAAGAGCGTATTCAAAAGAAAAGAAAGGTCTACTATGACATCCTTTGACTTTTACTCCATTTTTTCCAAAAAAAATATTTTTCAGTCCAAAACTACTAGTCCAGTCTATAACAACACTAACCGATTATGAGCTTACACATAGAAATAGATAACGTAAACACGTTCCAATATGTTATGTACAATAGACACGTCGGGACAGGTTTATATTAGTTTGTTCAAATAATTCTGTTGCCCCTTACCTTAATCAAATAATTCCGAAAAGTTGCTTTTAGAAAAGGCACAGAATTATTTGAACAACCTAATAGGTAACTCGGGGATTTCGATTCATTAGTTGGGAGAGATCTAAAATACAACAGAAGTGAGCTGAATACAATAAAAATAGACATTTTGTTCGCTATTTGATTATTAATTTTTCTGATGTTACCCATTGAGACACAAAAAATACCGTTACAATCTGGAAAACAATAAATCGTAAAAATTGCCATTTTCAAGCTTCTACAACAACAAAAAATAAAAAAGACAGTGTTTTTCTGCAAGATATGACAATGAAAGTTGAGAGGAAAGAACAATATCTAATACCCTTAGAATCAAAACTAAGAAAAAACTTAACGAAAAGTTCACAAAGACCCTGTAAAGTACCCTAAAACAACGAAAAAAGACCTAAAACAATGGAAAGAAGACCTAAAACAAATAAAAAAGAAAAATGCAATACTAAAACTAGCCTAAACAGAAGGCAAACAACAACTGAAAGTAGTGGTACTGGTCATACGATAACCTAAAAAGCCAAACATAGTACTAGTAATCATCGTGTTATAGTCTAAACAACCGACAATAGTACTAAAAATCATTATATAATAGCTGAAAAACCCGAAAAGAGTACTAATACTCATCACACTCTAACTCAACAAGCCAAATGTAGTACTAGTACTCAACATACTAAAACAAAAACAGTACTAATACTCATCTTTTCCCTACCTCAACTCACCCTACAGTATTAAAAGTACCAAAACTATCAAAACCACCTACACCTTAATTATAAAACCGATTGACGACCTGTTTCAATCGATTGTTAGGGCTCAGTGAGCTGTTGAAGAGCTCGTCATGATTGGACCCGGCGGTGTTATTCGACAATTTGGGTGAGCTTTGATTGACATAGGCCTTGTTAACGGGTGTGTTGAACCTCTTCGATGTAGTTGGTTGTTTCTTTCCATTTTCAGAGCCTGGAGTTGAATGAAAGAGGGGAGAGGCTGAGAGCTCTCCTGATAAGCCTAGGGATCCATCTGCTGAGGTTTGGTAGGCATAGACTCTGGATGAGTTCATGTCGTATCTGGGGGTTAGTGAGCGGCGATTGAACATGTAGTAGACTGAAAATGAAAAAATTATAATTTTTTTTGATACTTTGATTTGAAAATCTTGTACTAGACTAAAATTTGTTTAGCTAAGCTAAAATTGATTAAGTTAACCTAAAATTTTTTTAGCTATTCCAATCATTAGCAAACACCCCTCAAACCTACAAAAACACCCCTAAAACCTCGAAAAACCCTTTATATTACTACAAATTCTATACCAAAAACCTACACAACATTCCAACGGTAGCAAAGAAGAAGGTCCACATCATGACCAACGTTGTAGCCGGGTTGTTATCAAAGAATTCTCCCAAAATCAGTCCAATTCCATGTTGTGCTTCATACGCGGTTTCTTTGACTTTTTCGTAAGATTCGGCAATGGTCAAGTTGTTTGATACATCTTCCTCATCTTTTAGTTCTTTTGGGCTTAGATCAGCAACTGATAATCTCAAATATGTGGCAATGCGGAAGTCTTTCGAGTCCCATACTTTAAGCACAGTTTCTCCGTCGTATTTTAGGTAGATTTTGAGTTTGCGGCGATCTTCCAAGGCTTCAATCTCTGTGAGGTCAAACCTGAAAAAAAAATATTTTTTTAGTTCGAAAAATTTAATTTTTTTTAAAAAACCATCCCCAAACCGCTCAAAACCCTACCTATGAGGCCTGAATGCCACTCTGTTATTAGCTGCATGTAAGACCCGTCCTCTCACGTCTCTGAATCCCACATTCACGGTGATCCAGTTGCCTGGCATCAGATTTTCACGGACTCGTTTCGTCTTTCCTTCCACTGTCAAATGAATTGATTTGGCTGCTGTGACCTCCACTGTGACAAACTGGCTGTTGTTGTAGACGGAGCTGTTGTGTTGGACTAGGAGAGCGCCGACGCCTTCTTGTGAGCCCGATTCCAGGAGGATTTCCGGCAGTCCGTCCGAGGTTTCGGTCGATTTTATTTCGAAGAGTGGGGCGGATTCGCGGTGGACCTTGTATTGGGTTTGGTCGGTTGGTCTAAAAACCAAAAAGTTTTATCAAATATAGTTCAACAACAGCAAACAAAATCCTTTTTTCTCTTTAAATTAGAAAATCTCTCGCTTAAATAAAACCCCTGAGCAAATAAAAGTCTTGTCGCAATTTTCCGCTACCTTCCATACTAAAAAACGACAAAACTCTTACTTCGCCCTTAATACCGTAAATAACAAAAACCTATCAATACCACACCCTCCTTACCTATTAATGCTCAAAGGCAAGCTAGTTAACGGTGTAACTCTAATCGTTGGCTGTTTTTCCAAGAACGGTGCCACAAATGCTAAAGAATCTTGAACATCAATTCTGATGGCACTTGAAAAGTGTGAATCCCTGGTCTGGAACTGCTTGTATCCTCTGGAATGTGGTGTGACTTTGACTTCGAGCTCTGCCACTCCTGGTTTTAGTGCTCTTAGCTGCGTGGCAAATTGATTTTCCGATTTTTGATTGAAGAGGCTTCTGGTCACGGATTCAAAGGTCAGAATCTCGGCGTCTGGCTTGGAAAGGGTCCATTCTACGGTCAATGGGTAATCGGCTCCACCAAATGAGAATGGAGGTTCATCTGATCCTGTGAGGCCTTCAACTCTAGCCTCTAAAACTTCTCCAGTCTCCACTAACAATGATGATACGACAATTCTGACACCAACCAGTGATACCACCTTTAACGTGACTTGATTCGACGTAACTTTTCGTCCAGCCACTCCAATCGCGGCTGTTATCGAGCTGTAGCCAAGAGTTTGAGTTGATCTTATCAGGCCTTCTGAGATCTTTGCTATGGCAGTGTTATTCATCTCATAGTGGACATCTCTCAACGGTTTTGGACCGCCCAAGACTTCTAGTTCAAACACTGATTCTGGAATCAACGTCACTTCCTTTGGGTCCAAAACTAATGGTGAAAAAACCTGTAGATGATGTTGTGCGCTTCTAATCGTCTTCGTAGTAGCTGATATGGCTGACACCGTGATTCGAGTTACTCCAATCTTTAGGCCAGTAGCTTTGTAGGATAACAAGCCCTCTTTCTTCAGAATTATCAGTTGATCATTGTACTCTAGGTTCAGATTGATCTCTTGAATGTCCTCCAACGCAAATTCTTTGCCTTCCACATCAGTTATGACGATATCCAGATGTATATCACCATTTAGTTCCACAAACTCGCTTCCTTTAATCTCAATTTTACTGATCTCTGTCACTTTCACCGGAATTTCAATTTCATGGCCAATGATGCAGAGATCTTGAACTACCAGCTTGGTGACACCTTCTCTGACCGGGCTCAGCTGGATTTGTGTTTCAGTCCGTTCCTTGTTGGGCAGAAGATAGGCTGATACGTATGTTCCACTGAGAGTGTGGTCAATGTAGAATTGTCCTGATCCGCCGTGAAGGGTTACCGTGGCCCTGGCGCCTTTCTGGTTCCAGATGACAATTGATGATGGATTTGGTTTGGCTAGATCTACTAGGTTTAAGAGCAGGTTAGCAGTTAGTGTTCTTCCGATTGATCTTTTGTTTCCTTTTACGTTAAACTGGTGTGACGAGGCTTGGATGTCGAGGACTCCTGGCTTTCCTGATGGCTGTAGCTCTGCCAAAACTGAAAATTTAGGTATATAATCGTTATATTATCCATCCTTTTACACTAAAAAACGTATAATGCCCATTTCTTTATATTCAAAACAGCCAGCCTACATCATTTTAGATAAAAAAAACACACGTTATCCACCATCTAACCTCAAAAACCAGCTTCATAAACCCTCAAACCAATCAAAAATCATTTTAGGCCAACTTACTGCTTTCCAACTTCTGATTCTTATCCAACCGGTCGATTGAAGCCAATGAAGTTTGTTTTACATTGAACTCGGTAATTAATGAAGCGATTGAGGTAAACTTTCTTTCCATCGCATCTTCACCTTGGCTTGGGCATTGGCCGAAAGCTGTCAGTTCGAGGTAGGTTAGTTCGCCGAAGAACATCGAGTGCTAAAACAAGTTAACATAGACCGAGAAAATGAAACTTCAATAGCTTAAATCTACAAACATATACAATAAACCCCGTCTATCCTAATACTACCTTACCCTAGTAGAATAACCATCTAACACAACCTCAACTCACCGTATTCGCCTGACACCCACCACTAGCCCTTCCTTTAGCCTGTTGAGTCAATGCCAGTCGAGACGGTACCGAACAACATAGTCTAGCTTGAGCTGTGGCGTGAACTGGGTATGGTAGATTTTTAGCTTTTCTGTTCCCAACCTTGACGGTTACTGTAGTTTCAGCCATGTCACTCTTGCATAACACATTGTAGGCATCGCCGGATTGGACGATTTCTCCGATTCTATCGTTGGCTGTGTTCACGTTGGTGTAGTATTTGCTTGGATCGTGCGAATATGGTCTTGGACCGCCTTCGAATTTGAATGGGGCTGAGGAACCGAGGCCGAGGAGGAGCTTTGAGTCTACTGTGATCTAAAATATTCATTTTAGCTTAATCTAGATTCTTTTTTATTAACTTTTACTTTGTTTTATAATGCAAAAGACCCTAAAAGCAAACTCGTCAACTCACCGTATTTTACCTTTTACAACCGTCAAAACTGAACTTTTGTTTCAGAAAACGTTCAAAAAATCATTTTAGTCTTAAAAATCAGCCTTAAATAGTGCCATTAGGCTTCCATATGACACTGTAACTTTACTGTCTCCAAGGCCTTTTGCAATTAGAGTAATACTCGAACATCCTCCATTTTGAGGGCAATTCGGCTGGTTTCGCTGAAATTTGTTACCCAAATAAACATTGAAATCAATATATCATCAAAATTTATAAAACTTATCATTGAGTCACGTTGTAGTGGGTAAAGTAAAGTAAAATAATGTCATAAAAATCACAAAAAAATGTCACAACTATGTCATGATCATCATTTCCCATAAAACACTCACTTTTATCGACCGTAAACACATTCTGATTGGCAATCTGAACACTGAAATCGTAGTTTCGACAGTCTGTGAATGGTACTGGTGCACCGTTCAAATCGGCCAACATTTTGATGTTCAATGTTAATGTTGAGCCAATTTCAGCTTCCACGACTGATGGGCCAAATTCCAAGGATTTTGGTTCAAAGACAATTACCTAAAATTACAAATTTTTAAAATTAACCCCTCAAAATAAAAAACCAGCCCTGACCAGCAATTTTTTTAAATAAAAATCACTCATTCACACCTTTTGCCTTACTTCTTAGCTCTACTAAATTAAAAAAAAATCACCATCCCCCCTTCCAAAAATTTCTACCCCGCCCAAAATTTTTTCTCAAACAAAATCTCTCACTCTTCAGAAAAGCAAACAATTACAAAAAAAAGCTAAACCCCCCCCTCCACCGAAAAATTATTTTACCCCGCCCAATTTTTTTCCGAAAAAAACCCCTCACGATATAGAAAAAAATAATTTTACAACAAAATTTTTTTTACTCTGCCCTCCCTAAAAACAATATTCCAAATCCACCTTAGCCGAGTCTCTATGTTGTTCATTCCGATAATCAGCCACATGAACAATGGTCTCTCCAATTTCGCCGCTCTGTACCACACCAGCATCTGACACTGTACCAACACTAGGGTCTTCACTAGACCAAACAAAGATGCCGGATCCACCCGAAACCTTCAGTTTATACTTGTATTGGGAATTGTGCTGATATGGGAAGATCAAAGTCTTTGGTGTTACATCCACCGCTTCGAAGATTTCGGCTTTTTGTTCGCCGAAAATTGGCACTGCCACTTTTTGTATGTATCCATTGATGTCTGTGATTTGCATAAAGTGGGATTTTATTGTAGTTGCACCAACTTTCTTGGCTCTGACTTTGAAGTGAGTGTTGTTCAGGGTTCCTTCGATAACTTCTAGGTAGTCCGTGAGATCTGTGTCGAATTTGGCGTTCTGGAAATGAGCTTGTCAATAACAAAACTTATTAATAACTTCGCAATTAACAATTCGTATTTTACAATTTAAAGCGTTACTTTAAGTACAAAAAACAGTTTCAAAGCAAAAACCCTACTTTCAATAAAAATTTATATTAACCATTACCTAAAACCTCCAAAAAAGCTTTAAAACTCCTTTTAAAAAACCAAAATCTATTAAAAACAAAAATAAATCCACTAAAAACCCTCTAAAAGATATTAAAATCCAAAAAAATCTCTAAAACTTATCTCAGGAATATAGACGTTATTGCCCTGCAAATCCAACAATCTAACTTCAATTTCATAGACAACTCCATTCTGAAGTACCCAGTTGTTTCCTCTGTTGATTGAAAAGTAAATTGAGTCCGGTTCAACCACATAAACATGAGCACTTTGAGGTTTGAAGCCGGCTTTTTGACAAACAGCTAAAAATTTTTTTGTAGTAAGTTAATGTAATGCTTTGGGTGAAAAAAAAACTTTATGAAGATTTGTTTTTTAGTAGAAATATATAAAATAAGCTAGATTAGTTCAAAATATCGCCTATAGAAATTCAAGCTTTTCTTCAAAATAAAGACTTACTTGAATCAAACAGCGTTACTTCAACATTACCAATACTATTAGCTGTCAAATAGTTTGTCGTTGGATCTAGCGTGCATACTTCTGAATCACTGACTGCTAGCTCGTACTGATCGTTGGCACAGCTAAAAAGAAAATTTACGTAAAACCTTATATGATACATGTAAATTTATATTATCCATGACTTTTTACTGTTTTAAAAGCCCAACCAATCCTTTAGCTACCTAAAAACATAAAAAACTGCAAAAAAAGTCAACTTACGTTCAGTAACTCCATTTTTCAAAATTACAGCGCTGTATGGGATCAAAGATCCAACAGTAACATAAAGATCTTCTGATGGAATCAACAACAAGTTGGCAACCACGTAAAGCTCGATACTGTGAGGTGAAATGTACTAAAAGAATATAGATTAAGTGATCATCAATCTAAGAACTCAAAAAACAAACTATTTGTAACGTAATCACAAAAACTTACACTAAACTCGCTTTCACTAAATTTAGCCGTCAATTTAGCTGATCCAGTTTGAATACCTTCGACTAACACAACAAATCCCTTCTTTTTCTGCTTCTCCAAATACTCAATCCCAAGAGGAGCATCGTATTTACTCTGTGAAAAAGGAATAATCCTCAATGATCTTCTAGAAGCATCAGCAAATTCGAAATTCCAGTCAAAAGGTATATCTCCAAGGGCCGAGAAAGCGTGTCCCTTGTTGTTGAAGGCGTCAATGGTTATTCTAGCTGGCGGAGCTTCCAAAAACAGCAAGTCTGTGATGGTCTCCACCTTTATTGAGTGAATAACATCAACAGAAACTCCGCAGGACAAGGTTACACCGCTGTCTAGAATAATATACATTAATATTTAATGTACCTCAAAGTTTTTAAACAAACACATGCTTCCAAAACTTGGAAAAACTCCTAATCTTCTGCCAAACCTTCTACAAACTCACGCCTAAACATCAATCACAAAACAAAGACTTACTGAGATCCTTAGCAAAAATGGTGGTACTTTGTTCATCAGCATGCTTGGACCTGGATGTTAACAATGCTTTGTCAGAACAACCTTTGTTTTTCGGATCAATTGGTTCGATTGAAGCAACATCAGGTCGAGTAGACCGCCTGAAAAGATATTCATAAAGATTCCGGTCAAAATTCCAAATTTAAAATGAAGTTTTTATCAAAAACAGCCAAAGAAATCTAAAACACTATAAATCTTACCAAGTAAAGCAAGCTCCACCAGGATGTGACACTTCCAACAAGAATGTCACTTGATTCGTCGGATGATATGGCAACAAAACGCGAGGTACATTCAATCGGAAGCCATTTAGGCCTATTAAAAGCAGTGTAACAACAAGAATTAAGGTTTTTAATAACCCCATTCTAAAAATTTAAAGTTTATTGGTATAAAAATATTTTTATATTTACGTAAAATTACTGTAAACAAAGTTTTTGTTTTAAAAAGCCGTAAAAACTTCAAAATTTTCATTTCGAAAAATTATTTGGCAAAATTTGGCGGAATAGTTTTCGTGGCGGTACCAACTTGTTTAACCAATGTTCTTAGTTTTCAACGTTTGTTTTTGAGTTTTTAGTGCCATGATTAGCTTATAAGAATTAAAATAACATAAAAATTAACAATTATTAATAATTTTGACATGCTAGAGTTTATTAGCATTTAAATATTACAATCGATTATTTAAAAAACCGTCAAAGCCTTGCGGCGCCGTTGATCCATTTTAGTAGTTGTTTTCAAAGTAACTGTAACTCTTTGCAATTTTAAAACCACTTGTTGCTGTTGGCCATCACTTTCTCTAGAGTGCTCAATCTTTACAAGTTTGTCGATGAACTTCCGGATAAAACTTTCGTTGCAATCGATAGTATCATTCACAATCTCGACTACAGTGTTCACACCGTATTCATTAGCAGCCGATAAGATGTGTTTCATGTTGTGGTAATTGACGTTGAATCCACATGGACTAAGCGTTGCTTTAAAGGTAACGTCTTTGAGATTTGGGAACATTGTGAGTACAGTATGGTAAAAGTAGTTGGTGTACGCGGTAAAAAGCTGTAAACTTTTTGAAAAGTTAACAAAGTTGTAACGCAAAGACGTGACATTGGGGCATGATGTATAATGAGTGTATGGTTGAGTTTTGTTGTTCATGATCAGCTTTAAATTGGGTAGAAACACACTTCTTATCAGTGATGTTGCCAGACTTGCTATACCTTAAACATTATGATAATTAAAAATAAATAGTATTGTCGTACTTTGTAGAGTAAGGGAGGATAAAGGACATATTTTTAAAGAATTTATAAAGAAAAGCATCGTAAAGTTAAAGAAAAAACCTACAATAAACTGGAAACTCATGGTGCTGTATATCTTCTATACCGTCAATTGTAATCTCATCAGCTTTTGCATCATACAATTGTGATACGAATGGATAGTCACACTTGATACTGGTGATTTGGTTGTTGAGTTGATCAAACATGACTGCGCCAAAGCGATACTCTGGTGTGTTTTTTGTCTTGCAGACCATTTCGAACGATATCTTTGTTTTTGGAAATGCACCTAAACATAAAAAAAATATAAAGTCAAAATTAGTAGATGTTGATCAAGCTTTGACTTCTTCTGTTTTACTAGACCTAGCTCAGAAAGCGTAAGCTAAGTGTAGTAAACTTGATTTAGTGGGCATATGCTTAGTAGGCTTAGGCTTAGTAGGTTTGGGCATAGTAGGCTTAGGCTTAGTAAGCTTAGGCTAGTAGGCTTAGTAGTTTAAGGCTTGGTACTCTTAGGCTTAGTAAACTTAGGTTTAGTAGGCTTAGGCTTAGTAGTCTGAAACTTATGATTTATAAAGCTCAGATAAATCAGGCTTAAGTAAGTTTTCTCTTATAAAAATAATAATCTTAATTTATATAACCTACCCTTTAGAAAGGTCGCAAACTGTGAAGCTTCTCTGATTGAAAATTGAAATGCCGGAAAGTAAACCGGATGATGTACAACAACACGGCTCGGCTTGACGTACGGTACTGCTATTTTTAGTGCAATTCTTTCAAGAGTTGAGCATACAAAGCGTCTAATCCAATACGTAGCATTGTGTAAACTTTGGCTGTTAAATTATGTTTTAGCGTCAATTAACACGTTGTAACCATCTTTCAGTATAGCTATTGTTAGTAAAGTACGGATTTTTGGCTGGACCTAAAAATAAAGCGGTTAACTTCTTGTTATTATAAGACTGACTTTGTTTTATTAACTTTTAAGTCTATTTACTTGTTGTAAATGAAATCTGTTTAACAAAACAAGAAGATATACCTCATAAATACAAAACATTACCTCAAATTAACTAATTACCACAAAATCAAAAAAGTAAAGCACTTACATTCATTGTAGACTTAAAAGATAGAAATGACAACCCCTTCGTTAAAGCCTAAAATCAAAGTAAACTGACCAGGTGAGATTCCAAATAGAGAATACTGACTATGATGCTATACTTAAAAATGCGCACAAAATATATTACACAATTTCTCTACGTATTTCTTAAAAAAAGACAAACTTTAGCTGAAACATTGTTCTGAACAACTTTTGAAATAGAAATGCTGGGTTTAGTTGACAGGTTCTTGATGATGTATTTGGCTTGCAACATACTAGAACATATGCTGAAATTTTAGAATGTTTTTTTTTATTACTAGGTAAAACTATCAAAGGGGTAGAGTAGAAGATGTGTTTCCAGGGCCGGGCGCTGGGGGGGGGGAAGGGAGAACCCAAAGAAAAAATTTTTCGAAAAAAGTTGAACGTGGTCCCCCCCCTGTGGATTTTAGGAAAAAAATTTTTCAAAAAATTGGCACAGGTAGCGTGAGCCGATTTTATCGACCCCAGACCAAAAGTCCCCGCCCGGCACTGTGTGTTTCCTGTCTTGATCTTGTACTTTTTGTACCTATTATAGCTGCATAAGTTCGAATTAAGACGAAATCCTATTTTTATAATTCATAATTCAGTTTAATATTCATTTTATGCGTTTTGTTGCGTTAAAGGCGTGTGATTAACATACCAATAATCTATTGGGGCCAAGATTCTGATTGTTTACTGATTTTTCATTTTTTTGAAATTTTAGTGTTGCAGGTTGTACTTTTATGTGACTTTTGCAACATAAAGCTTTTTTTTTACTTTTTCTGATCATACAGTCAAAGATTACTGTACTTTTTTAATGCTTGTTTAAAATTTTTAAAATTTTTCGTTTTTTTATACATTTCGAAACTGAATTTGGACTTACATGACCAATACTAAAATTATGTACGTATATTATAATACTATTTCAAAAGCACATCAAAGAACGATGACAGTCTTTTGCACTACTTTCATTTGTCTACCGCTGTGATTTCGAAATTTTGTTAAAGAAATAACTGTTGGTCATTCATAAACCACTACTCATTGTCAGCGGAGGGGCTATTCGAGATAAAATTTCAAAATTGAAAAAACGGTTTTTAAGAAAGAGTGTGAAAGAAGAAGAGAGAGAGAGCAAGAGAACGAGTGAGAGAGAAAAAAATATTATAGAAGGGTAGGGTGGGGTAGAATAGAGAAGGGCAGAAAAGAGTAGGAAAAAATGGTAGAGAAGAGTAGGATATGGAGAGGTAGGGTAGGGTAAGATAAGGTAAGATATTTCGAAATAAAATAAAAAAAATGTTTTGAAATAACAATAGTTGAGGTGAGTCAAGCTGCTATGTACTGTAATATCTGCTGTTCTTGAAATTTCATTTTACGTTTACTAGTGCAGCTTAAAAATTGCGAAATGTATTATTAGTAATGGCGATAATAGTTTTCTGATGAAATCGTGTGTCTCCAATTTGTCTGTGAGTCAACATGTCAATGTGATTATTGTTTTTTGTATGTTTGCTTTAAGGTACGGTACTTGTTTCTCAATATTTTAATACCGAATTAAAAGTACAAAAAAATTTAAAATTTTTATTTAGTGTGCGCACCTCATATCATAAATCTTCAGACTTAACCTTAAGCATATCTTATGTTTAGGCTCACACTTAGCATACGGTTAGTTTTTGGTTTAGGCTTAGGCTTCGGTTTCGGCTTCGGCTTAGGCTTAGGCTTAGGCTTAGTCTTAGGATTAGGCTTAGTGTTTGGTTTGCGTTAGGCTTAGTTTCAGGCTGAGTCTTAGGCTTAGATTCAGTCTTAGTTGACTTAGGCTTAGGCTGCAACTCTGCTCAGACTTAGGTCAAAACTAAGACTAATGCTTAAATTAGGCTCGTTCTAGCTTAGGATTTACCGCAATGTTTAAAGAAATAAACATAAATCAAAATTTGATTTGATTTGTATTATTTTAATCAAGGTACAACAATTTATTTCATTTTTAAAACTTGTTTTACAATGAAACGTAGAATTAAAAACGTCTCTTTTATGATATATTTAATTGCAATTGTACTTTTAATCACAATGTTTTGTAAACTATTATATAAAAAAAACCTTTATATTTTACGTTAAAAAGTTTGGAAAAGTTTTAGGCTTAGCTTCAAAACTGTAATATGTTGCAAATTTATAGCTTTTTCTAATTTTTCTTTTTTAACCTTTAGTTTTTTAGCAAGAACAGCTTTTCTAAAATTAGTAATTTAACCTTTGGAAGCCGATTATCAGTCAGTGAACCGGTTCTTATCAGCAGACAATAAGATCAATTGTTACGTGTTTAGAATTTTTTGTTGATTTATGGGAAAAGTGATGAAATATGGGTTAAGTGATATAGTATTAGGCTTAAATTAGGCCTGAAAAAAAGATATGTTAGGCTTAAGTTAAGTCTAGAAAAAATATTTTGAAAATTTAAAATTTAGGCTTAATTTTAGGCTTAAAAAATATTTTTTAAATTTTAAGTCAAAATTTTTTTTTGAAAACCCATGCCACTATTTTAATCTTTGAATGCCGTTTTCTTGGCACAGCACGTTCAATATGCAAATGAGGCTCTGGGGAGTAATTGCGGAACAAAAGTGCAAAGTGCCGACCATAGAATTAAATTTATTGAAAATGGTTTTTGTAAAATAAAATGGCATTAAATATGGCCGTCCTCTAGAGAATTAGGATATGTATGTGTGTTTGGGTACTACAGTTCTTTTGGTTTGAAAAATATTACAGTAAAATCTACGGTTAGGCTTAGTAGACTGTGTAAAAGTAGGCTTAGGCTTAGTAGGCTTAGGCTTAATAGGCTTAGGCTTAACAAGATTAGGCTTAGTAAGCTTAGGCTTAGAAGGCTTAGGCTTAGTAGGCTTAGGATTAGTAGGCCTAAGATTAGTAGACTTAGACTTAGTAGGCTTAGGGTTAGTAGGCTCAGGCTTAGTAGGCTTAGTAGGCTAAAGCTTACTAAGCTTAGGTTTAGTAGGCTTAGGCTTAGTAGACTTAGGCATAGTAGGCTTAGGCTTAGTAGGCTTAGGCTTAGTAGGTTTAGGCTTAGTAGGCTTAGGCTTAGTAGGCTTAGGCTTAGTAGGCTTAGGCTTAGTAAGCTTAGGCTTAGTAGGCTTAGGCTTAGTAGGCTGCTAATGAAAGATTTAGGCTTCTCAAGTATTTTTTTTTGCATTTTTGATGTTGTTAAAAAAATAAAAAATTCTAAATTTTTTGCCCACCACCGCTTTAATTCATTAATTTTGGCGGCCGCAACTCTCGCGACATCAAACGCGTCTCCCGCTGACTGTCGCTTCGTGTTTCGTCTGGCGGTTGATAAATGTACATGTGTGTCATTGTTTCATGACGGGAATATGGAGTAATTTATTATGACTGGGTGTCGAAATTGGGCATAGTAAAGCGGTGTTGGCAGGGTATTTGTTTTGTAGCCTAAATTTTCATTGTGGGCGGCTTAGGCCTATTTTTAGGCTTAGCAAGTTAAATTTAAGTTGATTTTTGAGTTTCAAAAGGTGAATTAAACCTAAATTTTTACTGTTACTGGTAGTTTAGAAGACTATAAAAAGTTTTTACGACAAATGTGTACGTACATATGCAAATCAATTTAGTTATGATACTTCCGACTTTGGGTGCTTTTCAAATTTCGCGGATTTAAGCGCACTGCACCGTGCAGTAATCCAATTTTGGACTTTTTTTGGACTGATTAACCATTAGCCAAAAGGAAATTTGGTTATTTTGTCAAATATGATATTTACGGGTGTGGGTTTTTTTTAAAATTTTATTTTTGGAAAAATTTTTTTTAACTGTTTTGTCCTTTCTCAGGTTTAGGCTTAATAGGCGTGAGCTTAGTAGGCTTATGCTTAATAGGCTGAGGCTTAGGCTTAGGCTTATGCTTATGCGTATGCTTATGCTTATACTTAGGCTTAGACTTAGGCGTAGGCTTAGGCTTAGGCATAGGCATAGGCTTAGGCTTAGGCTTAGTAATTTTTAGATTTTGACGGCATACTTTAAAAACATTCATACTTGTCAGTCAACGTAGCATTAGTCTACTAATTCTAATATTAATTAGCCTAAGCCTACTAAGCTTAACCCTAATGAGCCTTAGCTTACTAAGTTTACTAAGCTTAAGCCTAATATGACGATTTTGTT